TATCTCAAAGGATTCACAAAATTTAAACATGAATACAAATATATATCAAAATGTCCAACCAGTATATTTTGATGATTTTGTGTTTTAGTCTTCTTGGGAAATTCCCTGTGATTTTTGTAATATTGTAGTGCTTTCTCACATATTTTTATGTATTTGATCTTTCGTTGTACTTGGCAAGTGTTACTTATCTTACAATGGACAACAGCAGCCTTTATTTCTTTTTTTATTTTAGGAATGATTTATTGTCTGGGCTTCATGACAGGGTTGTATAACAGTGCATAGCCTTACACATAATGAATGTTTTATTTTTTTTTTCATGTTATAAATAGCAATTAGACACATATTATTGACATTAATAGTTATAATAATCTGTCCTTGCAGCATTATTTTTTTTTACTGAAGGCCTTTTCTTTTTGTTCCCCTTTATTTCTTCTTTTGTGCCAATCAAATGAAGAAGGAAAACAATTAGCTAATGCAGCCATAGGCAATAGGAGGTTGGGGACATAAGTTGCAGGAGAGTAATAGCCAATGATTTAGTGATGTGCTGAGCACAGAACAGAATGAATAAATTAATGCTGCTTCAGATGTAAAGCAAGCTATTTTGTGAGAATACAAATTTCTGAAGGATTGGATGACAAGTGTTTGACTTAATGAACTAGAACAAAGAGCTCAGATGAGCCATCTTTATTTACCCCTAAATCCTTTCTTGACACTAACAACTTTCTTTAAAACTCACCCAAGTGTCAAAATATTTTATGATGTGGGTGAATGTTTTACATTTATGAGGAACACTTAGCTGTTGGCAAATTTCTGGTTTAGTTTGTCAGTGTGGCACAAACAATTTTTTATAAAAATAGTTTTTTTTATATATAATATGTAACTGTTTACATAAACATTTGTGGTGGGGGTGGGTAAATGAAGTTATCCACACACTGTTCGAACTCAGTAAATTTCACATGGTAGCAGAATGGCTTTGCTGGTTCAAAATTTTTAGATTTTATAAAGTTATTTTTTTATTATTAGATATGTAAATTGGCTACAAACCTCTCTGAAGACTGAAGTGAAACAGATGGCGTGTTCAGAAAATAAATAAATAAAATAAACAATTAATGTTCCTCATAAAACTGAAATCTCACCTTCCTTCTTTTTGGTGAACCAGCAAAACAATATATCTATCAATATCACAGAATTGAAAGAGGGATTTATTTTGTGTTATTTCTTACTGGTGCCCTTGAGGCTCCATAGAGTCTTTACACATTGCTTTGTAAACTTTAAAGTTCAGTCTGCACTGTTGAAGGATTTATTCTGCTGAGAATCATTATATCTAGGCTGATCTTCAACTGTGAGAAGTGGCACTCCTCTTGACTTCCTTTCAGTGACTAATGTGAATTATTGTGACAAAGTGAAAATTTTATTGGAAGCCTTGCAACTAAAATCTATTTATTATTTCTACAAGTCCCACGCAAAATGGTATTACAAATTTTATTGCCAAATATGCAACAGAAGATGCATAATTTTGAACTGGCCATTTAATCACTTTTTTCAAAGGCTCATCAAACCAGATAAACTGAAAAAGACCTAAATAAAAAAGGATATATTGATGACTTGTGTCTGTACAGTCCCCAACATCAAATATTAGCCTTTTTTACTTCAAAGAGGAAAATTTGTACTTTCTGCCTCATATCATATAGTTTCTGTAGTGATCATAAAAACTCATCGGCCCTCTGATAGGACATTACAAAGTTATTTTTTCTTCATTTTTATTGTACCATATTTCCTGTATAAATCAACATAATCAATGAAACTAAAACTTGGTGAAACAAAAAAAATGATTTAAAGGTTTTCAGACTGTTGGAGTCTATTAACAGGCCATGGACTGAATTGGTAATATTTCCCCACATCTTCACTAAAATGCTCAGTATCTTCCCAGATTGTGACAGCATCTTTTGTTTCTTCTTTATTTCAGGTTGATCAGAGTAAGTTAAC